ACTCGACATCGTTACTATAATTTATGAATTATAAACTTCTCTGAAAATTGTAAAACTCTCAAAATTTCTAATTATTTCAGATAAAATTTTGACTCAGTGTTTAATTAAAATTAAAATTTAATTTAAAACTTTTTGGCTAAGAATTTTGTAATTTGTAATTTTAAATATTAAAATTTATGTATGAATTGTTTCGACAATAATAAATGTGTTAACCAAACGATGTTCAGAACTCTACTGACTCCTAAAATATTCTTCTTTCACAAGTCAATGTGGGTGTAACAATTTTCTTTTTCTCTTCATTACTTCGTCGCCATTTTCAGATATTCTGCCCAATCATAGACGTTCTCTCAATTGAAAGAATTTCCATCTCTTAGAAAATATCTTTGAAACTCAATTTAATTTCCGTGCTAATTTAATTTTCTGGAATTACTACAATGAAATCAAAGGTTTTTTGCTTTAATTTCTCAATTTTTTATTTGTTGAAACAGGAAAATTACAATTATTACAGAATAATCACGATCATATTTCATATACTCTCATTCAAGAAACTTACTCAAGCTAATTGTGAAAAAAATTTCACTGCTTGTTATTCTCATCAGCTGCTTGATAAAGAGTTTGTTGTATTCTTTAACATATTCCTCTGTTTTCTCCCTGATCTTCGATACTCAACTCGAATTCGTTTTTTTTCGACCTTGACTCATAAATAATCGCAACGTTTTTCTTTGTTTATTTTATTGAACAAAAAAAGAGAAAGAAAATCTGTTTCTGTGTTTAATTTGGGAAATTTAATTCATTTGACCCAATAATTATCTTAAATACGGCTGACTAGCAAAAATATACGCGTTCTTTCTTCTGTTTCAACGAGAAAGTTTTCTATTTGTTTCTCAGATTTTGCATCTGAAGTTGATTAATGATAAAACAAACGAAATAAAGTTGATGAAGCTGATATTAATCAATGTAATGCATGAAGAATAATGCTTGTGAAGATATTCTAATCTTCATTTTCATTAAGTTTTAATTACTTTTCAACATCCAGTCATTCTTCAAACTGCACTTATGTGCTAAACAATAAAAAAAATTAAATATTTTCCTCATTTCTTTACTCCTAACTACGGCACAGTTTCACGTCTATTAAAATTAAATAAACAACGTAAGAAAATCTTTTACTTAATGGATGAAATTGAAATCGAAACTTTGTGCACGCAAAACTTCTCTCAAATTTTTTTTTGTATTGATAACATGTAACGATTAAAACATGTAAATCCAGCATTTTTATACTTTTTTTGTTTGTTTTGATTGTCGAAAAGAAATCAATCTTCACGGGGATGAAAATTTTTAAGCACATGTGAAGAAAGAGGGGAATATTTTAATTTTTATAAATAATTAACGACTGAATGACATTATCCAAGGGCCAATTAAAAGCTGATAAAATGGTAAGAAAGAAGATGTTTTGAACAATTATACATAAGTTTGTATATATTTAATCAATCATTAATGTTGAAAGTCGTTTTTCAACGCTGAAAAAGAGAAAAGTAAAATAGAAAAAATTATGTGAGAATAAATTTTATTCAATCCTCACGTGATTTCAATGTCTTGGAAAAGTTCTCCAACCCATGCTACTGTAATGCAGTAATGCTGAAAGAGTTGTACAAGCAATTCACCCTCATCTAACATTTCTATCTTTTCTATTCGCTGTCGTTCTTGTATTGGCAAGCTATCATAAATCTGACACATATCCCATGAACGTGCACCATTCCAGCCACATTGAACAAATCTAAGAGTGATGGAAATTTATTAGCTCAACAGAATTCATCAAAATGTTCATATTTACCTAGAAATTTGTGTTTCTAACGACAAACACGCTTCAACACCAGCCAAGTTACAACAGCGAGCTCGCAAATTACTTAACATTACCTCACCAAAGCGATCATTCATATTGACTTGTTCGTAATTTACAAACGCTGCTGAACTAAAGTTTGATGAAAGCCATTTAAGCAAATTATTACAGTTGGCAGTTTCGATGTAAACGAGCACGCACTCAGCTGAAGGAAAATAAAATATAATTCAATAGTTTTGTATTTACTAAAGTTGACTTACCCAGGAAAATGGTTGGTAAATGAAAATCGACGTCAGACTGTTTCAATTTGTTGGAAACTTCATCAATTGACCGGAGATCGACTCCAACGATGTGATAATTTGTAGCATGAAGATCCGTTGGACTGAATCGAATTTCACCGTCTATGAGAATATTTCAAACAATAAAAGATAAGGATAAGAATTAATCTATGAGGAAATTCATTTACCTTCAGCATGAATCTTATCCAGCAATACTTTGTTTCGTTTGATTTGATAGCATTTTTTTGCTGTGACGGTAGGGAAATCGAGCTCGATGAAATTTTGAACCAAATGACCTGCATCACGTAATCTCCAATAAAGTGTATCAAATCCACAACCGAGGTTAATTATTTGACATTTTTCACCAGTTTTCTAAATTTTGCGATGATAATTTATTGTTTTTTATGTAGAAAAATAAAAAAATAAAAAAAAGGTCACGGTCAAATGAAATTAAGATCTTGACAACGAGATTCAAATTAAAACTTACCTTGAGAAATTTCTCAACACAAATCTCAATGCCTTTGACTCGGGCATAATATCCTCGATTAATTTCAGGTGCTTTTTTCTCGCTAATCTTCACAAAGTTTGCTATGTAGTCGTCTCGATAATAATTCAATTTCACACAAGATCTTTTCGATTCAGACGCATCGTCGTTGGTTGCAATTACTCCTGATTCATCTCCATGGAAGGACAACTGCCTGTCCATCATTTTGATCCTATTTCTGTTGTTATTACTTCACTTTGATGCTTGATTTACTTTTTTCTTTTTTTTATTTTGCTTAAAATGTAAAACCTTACAAATGTTCAAAGTTCGAAATCAGGGCTTTGAACGTAAACTGACCATGGAGAGAAGTGAGTCTATAATAGTCGGCTTGCGTGGATTTGACCAAAACACAATTTTCATACAAAGAACTTAGCTTTATTCCGTGCGTGATTTCTCCGTGCGTGAGAATTGTACACTCTCCACCTGAAACTAACTTTGGAGAACCGAGTTTATTAGGTAAGAGTGTACGTTTGGAGGTAGATCTATGATCAGATATGGATTCTTATCTGCCAAGTTTCAACATCATAAATGAAGAGCCTTAATGATAATATTTCTGGGGAGCTGCAAAAATTTATGAAGGTGAGTTACATGGATCACTGGTAAATTAAAATGATTAACTTATATTAATTAAATTTTCTCAATAATTTTAGGAGACGAATCTGACGAAATTCCCCCTCAAGCTTTTCAAAAAATTTATTATTAAGTTTGTTTACAAATAATCGGAAGTTGAACATTTGCTCATAAATACAAATTTAGTTAAATAATATTTTGAAAAATGTACCAATTCAGTAATTGGTGTTTCTTATGCGCTGATGAAGACGGTGGTGAAGTGAAAATTCAGACATTGGATGTTTGTTTCAAAGAAATCATTGGAGAATTTTCAATTATCGTAAAAAATTTATTGTTTTACTCAATATCTAATTATAAAGCTTTTCTATCTTTAAATTTCTAGAATTTCACACTTAAAGGGATTCCTTCTGCGATATGCAAAAGTTGTTATCTGTTTTTAAAGCAATATAAAGAGCATAAAGAAACTTATGCAAGAGCAGAACAAATGTTCTTAGAACTTTTAAGAACGAAAGGCAAAGCTATCGACATTTCTGCTATAAAAGCCAAACATAACTTAAATAAATTTGATTTTCAATACAATGAAAACAATGAAGATGCTTTGTCGATAAGAGAACCAGAACCAGAAGAGGACAGCATCTCTTTTCAGTTAGAAAATACTACGATAGAACCAACAACTCCAGCTCCCACAGAACTTGTTTCAACCATTCTAAACAAGATAACCAGTAAAACTTACAGAAATCTTTTCAAATGCGATATGTGTTCACATGCAAGTTCAACTAGAACATCAATTGAACGACACATGAAGCAAATTCATCTGAAAAAGAAATCAAAAGTTTTAACATGTAAAGTTTGTAACAAAGCATTTGCAAAGAAAAATATTTTGGATAATCATAAGAAAATCCATTTAATTGAACGTCCAACTTTTCCCTGTCCTGAATGTGGCAAAGAGTTGTCAAGTCTTTCAGCAGTCTCAAGTCACATCAATTGGATACATAAAATTAAACGTGAATTCAAATGTGAAACATGTTTGAAGATGTTTGCTACGGTAGTTAACTTAAAAATATTTTTGTTCTGTTTCTAAAGATATTTTGTTCATTTACAGAAAGGATCTCTTAAAGAACATGTAAAAATTCATTCAAACATCAAAGAACATGTTTGTGTAATTTGTAAGAAAAGTTTTAAAACTGTCAGCGTGTTAACAAATCATTTGGACACTCACAACGAAACAGGATATGGTTGCAGTGATTGTGGATTGAGATTAAACTCTAAAAGAACTTTAAGACAACATATGTTGAAGCATAGTGACATCAATAAGTTTTCTTGTGAGATTTGCAATGCAAAATTTAAACGTGTGAAAGGCTACAAAGATCATTTAATTTCAATGCATACCGATATCAAAGCTTACAAATGTCCTTGGTGTCCTAAGACATTTTCAAACGGTGCCAATTGTAGGAAGCACAAGAAATGTTGTCATACTAAAGAGTTTCTTCAAGCTGAGAAAAATGAAGGGTTAAAAGAAGCAGTGAAGTTGCCAAGTATTGACGAGATATTGTCAAAGCAGTCATGAATTTTATGTTTTCTTAAATAATATTTTAAATTTGTGTTTTTCAGATATAGAATTTTTTTTAAAAACTGTAATAAATCCAAAAATTTCCTTCAATTCATTTAAAATTTATTTATTTTGTTCCCCATGATATTTTTCCATTAAATATAGCACAACACTGAAACCTGCTTCGTAGAAAGGTCGTGCAAACTTATTAGTGATCATGTTAACATGATTAATGCCAGCTTTTACAAGCCATTGATCTTTAGAACTGAGAGTTTTGAATTTATGATCATTTAAATATAATTGAATGTTATTTTCATCAACTTGTGTGATTGAAAGTTCACTCGGATGTTTCAAGTCGAAAATTTCTAGCAGCGGTTCAACATCGTCGTGAATATTATTACCATTAGCATCATCAATACGCATGTAATATCCAAAAATATTTTGATTCTCATCCATATTGTCTAATAAAATTTCATTCTTTTCATGTTCATTTTTCTTCTGATCAATTCTTTTGACATCCAACAAATTCATTTTATCATTGAAAACCATTTTCCTTCGATATTCAAAGCCGGGAACATTTTGAAAATTTTCTTCAAGCATTTTAAATTCTTCTTTGTTAAAAATTTGTCTGTGGAAAAATTCTTTCGACATGTCAACATCGTATTGATAACCAGGAATACCAGCAAGTCTTCTCGCAAGAAATAACCGAGATTCAAAAGAAGAAAATGGTACGAAATATTTCATGCCATCAATGAACGCTTCTCCAAGTTTCTTAAAAGTTGGTGTGTCAAATTGTAGAAATGCAATGAAAGCGTAGCGTATAAACAGTCGACAAATTCTAAAATAAATAAAAATTTTGTGCAAGTAAATGTTGGCTTATGAAATATTAGTTAAAGCTTACATTTCAACAACTTCAAGTGGTTTCAAACACATATTAAATTCATCCTTAATACCCAACATATAACCAATGACAGCCCACAAATGAACGAAAGCCTCACGATCCTCCTTATCATCATGTTGAATGCCAAGTAAATGTGGACGAACTAAAGCATACCCCATGAAGCCAAATTTTGTCATAGCCATAGCACATTGAGAGATCATCCCGAGTTTATTTCGTTCAGCACTTCTCGAAGCATGTAAATGCATTTTTCTAACACGTTTCATTGATTCCCATGATCTATGGAGATGATAATTCAAACCTCATTAATTAGAAATCTCCATAATTAAAATAGAAATTAAATACTTTGAACCAGGTTTGAGTTCAACTTGATACCAACTCAACATGTGTAGTGTTGTAGATACATATCGCTTTTTAGCTGTATCGGAAGTACTTGACATCCCAGTTCGATCCAATAATTTTGCACCCGATGGTTCTGAGATAAGTGAAAATAATCCGTATAAATTTGACATCATGATTCCCGAACGATTATTTTGAAAATATCTTTGCCCTCTGAAATGATGACATCTTTTATTGTCTTCCTTAACAATAGCAAAATAAATTGCATTTAATTCTTTTGAGTTGGTTACCTTTTGTATAGTTTTTCGTCGTACCATTTTGGTAAAGCAAAGTCTTCGTCATCGAAACTGTTGTCACATGGTTGAGATGGTTTCAAACCATTTAACATCAAGTTGAGAATGTAATCTTTAGCAGCTATTGACAGAGAATTCGTATTGATTATTTAAGTATCTAATTATCCTTTTTAAATGAAGTTCATTAAGATTACGAATTTAAATTTTTTTTATCCTTCGTTGACATTTTAAGACATATCGCACTTCGATAAAAAAACACGCAAAGACAATACTTTCAATTACAAAATCAAGTGAGTAACACTTCATGAAACATTTTTTGTTAGGTGAATGAAGCGGCATGACTCGTTCTGCTTTGTTCTTGTCTATATTTCCACGTTCAAGATCAAGGTTGAATAAAGTACGATCAACGTTAATCTAGCGTGTAACAAGAATTGTTTTAATAAATTTCACAAAATATTTATGCTTATTTTCAAATCATTGCCATATTTATAACTGGATATTAATTATAAGTCTGATACTTAAATGCAACAGCTTTGGAAAGGTAAAATCATATGTCATTGAAGGAAGTACACTTGACAGATCATTTGTTTTTATTTGCATGAAATTAAATGATTCATTTAAGTAGTTTTTAATTGCTTTAAGTAAATATTTAAAAAATCAATTCATGATAATGTGATAGGCAATATTTTGATAAGATATCAAGAAGCCTAATAAAAGAATTAAAAGGATTAATAAACTGGGCTATAGGAAATAAATTAAACTTGCGACCCATGATAACATTTGAGCATTTCGATCTACTCAAAAAAATAAACATTCAAGTGTATTGTGTATTAAACATCTCACCACTTTCAATTTCTGTTAATTTTAACTCTGACATATTTTTATATTCTATTCACTTTGTGTTGTTGTATTTTTTTCTATTCAAAAATGTTTGAAAATTTTAGGTCGGAATAAGTCATCAACAACACAATGTTCTCGAATTATTTTTGTTCTTCATAATAATTAGATCAACTGCGTCAAAAAACTTATGTAACACTTAGATATTTTATATTATCTAATTAATCTTTAATCTTTCATGCTATTCGAGACGCGTTGTTTTTTATTGAAGATAATTTCACAACTGATTTTTTCATGAATATTACGATCGTCATCAGTCACATAGAACTTCATGGGATGCTTTTAAATTTTCTTTTCTCTATTCTATATGAGTAACTCTGTTCAACACATATAAAAATAAAAGTTTACGCGGAGATGAATCGTTTCAACATTGTAACCGCAACGGAATTTAGAATTCATTTTTCATTTTAAATTTAATAATTTCCTTCATTGTTTTAACTTTCATTCATATTTTTTTAACTTTACGGAGGCCATCCTTACAGAATGATTAACATCTTTAAAAATTGAAGGCGTTTCGCCCGACAACATGTTTATTTATGGCCATTATCTTGATACTCGTGTAGTTATCGATGCTGGTTTGAAATTTTGTCCAAATATAATTTTTCAAATTTTTGGTAATTCTGGTTAAATTTATTTCGATTCTCACAAATGATGATTTCATGCAAAAAATGGCAGCATGTATTTTTCGAGAGTTCTTTCAATATGAATTCTCGTGCTCAACAAGGAGCTTTACACGTAAAGAACTTTTACTTTTAACGAACGTTCATTGCTCTCAAATGTGAGTGTGTGCAAATTTGTCGAGCTTTTACATCTTGCTCTTATCGAGCGTCCACTGTATTTCAAACTACTTTCTTATTTTTGTTTAAAAACTGAAAAACGACAAAAATAAAAGTTAAAGTTAATAAAAATGACTTCAAATTACATTCACGATAATTCAACTTTAAATGTAGAATTGGTCGACAAAAAATTTTAGTTAAGTCTTTTCATCATGACGATACGTACCAGAAATTTGTTTGTGCTTTTAGCTTCGACATTTGTTTTGTCATCATCATCAGTCACAGTTCTATCTTCAGTTCCATCAAATTCATCAGTCTGTCAAGGAACCTGCCCTAATACTAGGTAGGTTTGTGTTGAACACTGACTGAATTTTTTTTGCGATTGCATATTAAACTAATTCGATCCAACATACTATTGGATGTGAACCAGGATATACAAAAACCAGAGCTGGGTGATACAAAAATTTTTGGAACGGCATTTCGATGCACAATACAATATTTCAGGTTTTCCCAGCCCTCTGTACACAAATTATCAAAATATCGACCAATCGATTTACAGACGAAGGCACTTTTCAAGGAATATTTTTCAATTCTTTAAGTAGGTATTTTTTTATAAATTACAAGAAACATCTTTTGAACCTATCATTATTTCTTCTAAGATGAATGAATTTATTTTTAATACGAATAAAAACATTAGTAAAATTATGCTAATATCAAACTGTTGAAATGAAACTTAGCAGTTTAAGGAGTGTTTTTGCATTTAATACTGTTGAGTTAACAGTTGATTAACAAAAATAAATTTATCTTGGTTACATAAATTTATTTCTGTCTCGATCCGCCAAATCGATTTCCTTGTTAAATTTCTGAAATTTTCTTATCTTTCGTCGCCCAGTTTTAATTAAGGTTGTTGATAAAATTAATCCCAACAAGTTTGAAAGTAATTTCCAAGAAAAAAATCATAAATCTCTTAAGTTACTTAAGTTACTTAAGTGGCCTTACTTTATTTTTGCTGTTAATTATTGTAAATATCGGCAGAATTAAACAGATAAGATAACGTCGGGTTTTTGTTTTTGATAGACTTTGCTAAAAATATTCGCCCACTGATATTAAGTAACAACAACAATCTATAAAACGCTTCCTAAAGTATGCTTATAATTATACAAATTATACAAGTATAAACTATTCTAATCACAATAACGCAATAATGTAACTAATGAAACAAACACAAGATTATAAAAATGTTATCAGATCACATTTAAATTACTTTCTTTGAAGGCATTTTTATTTATGGATGATTTAATGACTTTTCTTATCTTATTGACTTAATAATAAAAAGCTGTACAATGTCACTTTAATTAGATATAAAATCTTTTCTTCTCTCTGATGTTATCACATTTCAAGATTAATTTTGCGAGTGAAAACAGAATATGAAATTTCTAATTTTAATACTTTTTCTTTTTTTAAGTAATTTTGCATCTGGTGACGAGTATGACGATAAAGTGAAATTCATGGTGTACAAGAACGAGTGAGAGTGTAAAATTTGTTTAAAACAATAATTTAAATGATTGAACTTGCTTTCATTATGTAACAAGAATTGATGAACCATTCAATTGGCTCCCAGGGACAACACTTACCGACCAAACTGATACTTCATGTGATAAAGCTGGAAAATTTGCTTTTGTGGCACATGGTTGGAGAAGTTCAAATTCACCTTGGATAACGAAATTAATAGAAAAACTTTTGGTATATCGTGGAGGTTGTGTCATTGCAATAGATTGGGGATTTTATGCAGACAACCCCAACTATTTGATGATTATTAACCGTGATTGGCAGAAAGTTTCAGATGTCCTTACTGAACGGTTAAAATCTTTAGAAAGAGAAGGCGTTTCGCCCGACAACATATTTATGTATGGCCATTCTCTTGGTGCTCGTTTAGTTATCGATGCTGGTTTGAAATTTGGTCCGAATAAAATTTTTCAAATTGATGGTAATTCTGTTTAAATTTATTTCGATTCTCGGAAATGATGATTTCATTCTAAAGTTTGTGATAGTGCTGGGCCAGGCTTTTTATTTTATGATCTTTTAAATGAACCGAAAAATGCAGCTCAAAATGTTCAATGCATTCTAACGTCAATGGATGGTGGAACAACATTTAAGAATTGTCATCAAAACTGGTTAATGGGTAAGATTCCTACAAACTTTTCATTATCGAACTATTTCTGAAAATAGTTTTTAAATGAAGGAATCTGCGGATTAGTTCAACCAGCTTCACCCAATTACTTATGTCTCTTGACATCAATCTGTACAGCCGTGGATGAGAAAATTTCTCACAACCTTTGCAATGATTTTTACATAAGCGCATTTGAAAATAATTTCGTAGCAAATAATCGCTATGAATGTCCGTCAGCTATGAACATTGAAGAACTTCCCGAAAATTTCAAAATGGGTTACATGGAAACAAGACGAAGGTGAGAATAGAAATTTCGTTTAATAATGTCAGATTGATTAATAATTTTATGTCAATAGTTCTGCAATACAAGGAAATATTCCCGCACCGACATCGAGGAGTTACCCGTACAATGTTATTTCTTAGACATTTACAACTGGGAATAATAAATTTTACTTGCAATTATTTAAATTGTGTCAAATAAACAAAGATAATCATTTCTTGCTTGAAATAAAAATATGTAAGGAACTAACATTAGAAAAATAAAATATTATTTATCCATTGCGCGAAGCTTGCCATTATCATTAGCTTCTTAATATTAACTTATTTGTGCATGGTTCAGCTCATGAGATAATTCCAATTACTTTTTTTGGGAACACGATTAAACCACCATCATCTCCTAGAGAATTTAGTCAAAAAATTTCAGAACCTACAAAGGTTGCACGACCTGCCCAAGAAGTATGTAAATGACTGTCCAAGATTGTAAAAACTTTGTTTCTATGCCATGTCTATGACATGTCAGGAGTTACATATCAGGAGATTTTTTTGAGCTGAAAAGAATGTATGAGACATTATAAAACGCATGCTGCTCTTCAGTCATTAAAAAGATTTCAAATGATTAGAAAAGGTAAAAGAATTTTTGACTGCACTATGACCGCAAATTGAAAGAAATTAAAAAGTATTTTACACTCGTTGAAGCAATTCAAGTAGTTTTCATACAATTATCACCAAACAAAAAACAGTCACGTAGAACTTCATGGGCATTTCATAGGCATTTAATATGCATTTTCAAGCTTTTAATTTTCTGTTCTCAATTCTTTATCATTGCTGCACTCTAAAACATGTAAAGCAAAAGCTTATGTGAATTGAATCGATCAATATTAAACCGCAACAAAGTTTAGAATTGATTTTTGCACTTCAAATTCTTAGAAAAATATTTCATGTGAAAGTGATAATGCAATTCAATAATTTGCTTTATTGTTATAACTTTTATACATCATGTATGTAAATTTGTTACACATATTTATTTCACTTTATTAAATATTGGGGCATTCAGGATTCGTAAGCATTAATGTAGTTATCCAAAACGAGAAGTCGGACATTCTTGTATTAACATTAACTTGTCCTCCCGTACATGGATCAACCCAAGACACAATTCCAACAACTTGATTTTGATGCACAATTGGACCTCCAACATCACCTAGAGGATTTCATTACACAAAATAAAAATATAAAAACTTCACAAAGGAAATAAAATTATGAATAAAAATCTTCAGAACCTGTACAAGTTGCACGACCGGCCCAAGCAGTGCACATATGACTATTCAAAATTAAGCCGCGCATAACAGGTGGAAAACTCAATCTGCAATTGGCCAGTGATGTAACTCTGAAAATACCTCGTAGTAGAGTATTTTGTAAGTTTCCACCTGTAGTAGAAGCTCCCCAACCAAAAATATTAACCTCTACCGGAGGATCATTAAATGTATTAGGGAACGCCATGGCTATTGCCGATGTTGTGGCATCAAAGGTTATATTTGTTTCCATTCGAAGCAAAGCTATGTCGTTTTCTTTTGTCGTAGGCTATAAAAAACGTTTATTGAAGGAAATTTTGATAAATGATTAAGAATGCAACTAATTCATTTCTACGTTAAAAGAGCCTGCTGAATCATTAGCATAACGAATACATCTGATCTGATGTAACCTGGGTGGATTAATGGTGTTACCTCCAACTCGAACTCTTAACTGAGAAGGATTTCTCTGGTGGGTACATTGAGCAGCTGTGACAACGAATAGTGGTGAAACAATGAATCCACCGCACACATGAAAATCTCCTTGAAGTGCAAAAACTCTTATCGATGCCATTGCTGTGAAAGTTTGAGCAGTTCCCCCCATAATGCGACCATTTCTGTTCGTTGTTTCTTCATCACTTAAAAGCACTGCATGGGCAGTAACTACCAGCACAATAAAGATCAAAAATCGGAAGACCATTTTGATTGAATGAAATTGTTTAAAAAACTGAATGGTGAAATATTTCAGGCTTACTCTTTTATACTTCTAAATTTTACAAAACAAATTCTGATATCTTATCAAATGTTGTTGGACTGATTTCCACAATAAGATGTCAAAATGCGTTTCACTTAGGTTTTTAATCCATGCATTTCAGGGTTTTTTTACGTGTTGTTTTTAACATACTTGAAGTAAAGGGCTTCAATCTTTCTTGTTGCGACACGTTTAACAAGGAAAAAAATGAATACAACAAATAAGAACTAAAATTATTTCATCTAAAACAACGCAAAAACCACTTTTTTAATAATATAATAAGATAATTGTGGGAGGAGTTTTAACAATCTGTTACACAACCAGAGCTGAGCGACACATAAATTTTTGGATCAGTGATTCGACTCACGATATTTATTAATAAAACTTTAGTTAAGTCTTTTCATCATGACGATACGTACCAGAAATTTGTTTGCGCTTTCAGCTTTGACATTTATTTTGTCATCATCAGTCACAGTTCTATCTTCAGTTCCATCAAATTCATCAGTCTGTCATGTACATGGTACTATTACTAGTTTGTCAGTGTTCAACACTGACTGACCTTTTTTTGCGATTGCATATTAAACTAATTCGATCCAACATACTATTGGATGTGAACTAGGATATACACAAACCAGAGCTGGGTGATACAAAAATTTTTCGAACGGCATTTCGATACAATATTTCAGGTTTTCCCCGCCCTCTGTACACAAATT